AACCACCACATACTCAAATGAAGTCTACATCCTGTTCCTTCATAACACAGAGGCATCACCTTCCAGAACAAACAGAAAAGTAAAGAACAGCAAGATTGGGAACACACACACACACACACACACACACACACACACACACACACACACACACACACACACACACACATTGAATCCATAAGTACAATGCAAACACTGTTCTTCTCCAGAACTTGAGCTCAGACCCCAGCACTGTTATCAGTTGACTCACAACTTTCTGAAATTCCAGCTCCTGGGGATCTGACACCCTCTTCTGCCCTGCACAGGAACCCACACTCACAGATACATCATCCTCTCCTGTGTTTCTTATTAAATAATGTAAAACTTTAAAGAAATAATTTCTGGCCGGGATAGATGGCTCATCAGTTAAGAGCACTGGCTGCTCTGCTGAAGACCCAGGTTCCATTGTCAGCAACCACAGAGGGGCTCATGATTGTCTGGAACTGAAGTTCTTGCAGATCCCAGACCCTTTTTTGGGCTCCATGGGTACTGGGTATGCATGTGATGTAGAGGCACACTTGCAAGTTTATATAGCCCATATATAAAAATTAAAATTAATTTTAAAAGAAATTTTCATTTTGGCCAGGCTTTGTGATCACACCTATAATCAAAGCACTCAAATGACTAAAGGAAGACATTTAAGATTCCAAGACAACCCTGACTTACTTAAGAAGGTATTGTAACAAGAAGAAAGAGAGAAGGAAGGAGGGAGGGAGGGGAGGGAGGGAGGGAGAAAAGAGGGAGGGAGGGAAGGAGGAAAAGTCACCATGCCTTCATGAATCCACCATAAAAAATCTCACAAGAATCAGTTTTTTTCAGCCGAGGCCACCCTTCCCTGACATCTGCATGACTGGCCCATCACCCCTGCCTCTAGGACACTGCGGGCTCAGTAGAGAGGAAGACACATTAACCTTCAGCAGGGCTTTAGTAGGAGACCTCGAGCATTGCGGTTACAGACAGCCATGGGAAGAAGGACTTGAAGAGAAAGAGACTTCAGTTTAGAAACACAGAGGCACTTTCTGGCACTTTCAGGATTCCAGGAAGTGGGTAATGTTCCATATCATGTGACATGTGTGCTATAAGCCAAGAAAGCACAGGATAAAGGTAGGGCCATACCTACATAGATGAATTCAAGTCGAGATGGAAGTTAGCTTTGTATCTCTGATTGGAATGATTTCTAGCAGTGTGAAGAGGGGGAAATTATTCTGGGCTGCTAAAGATAAGATAAATATCTTGCTGGGAATTCAGTGATTAAATTCAAGTATTGCAGGCAAAGTTTGCATATTACAAGTAGAGAAGAGAAAAAGAAGGATTAGTATAGAGCCAAGGTTTGAGAGGCTGCGGTTTATTGGTTAGGAGAAAACTGACTTAGAATTGTGGGCCTGTGCCAACATGCCCAGCCTTCCTCAGCCACAAATAGTTACTTTGTTATTTTCTTTTAAAATGTTTGATTATTTTTATGTTTTGTCTGCATGTATGTAAGTGCACTGTTTGTGTGCCTTGTGCCAGCTGAGGCCAGGAGATGGTATTAGACACCAGGGAACTGGAGTTATGGATGGCTATAAACACCATGTATGTGTTGGGAACTGAACCTGGGTCTTCTGGAAGAGTCCTAAGTGCTCTTAACTGTTGAGCCATCTCTCTATCCCCAAGCTTAAGAGTGCTGCTTTTTTTTTTTTTTGGCTAAATTGCAAGTTGCTCTGATTTTTCTCACATATTCATTTTTCACTCCTGGGGACTGAACACAGGTCCTCACACATTAGCCAAACACTGTGCCACTGAGCTAAGCTCTCAGCCCTAACTTTTCTGTTCATTTGTTTCTTTTGACTTGGTTTTGGGTTTAACACAGGTTTTCTCTGTGTAGTCCTGGTTATTCCAGAACTCACTGTGAAAACTAGGTTGGCCTTGAAGTTAAAAATCCACCTACCTCTGTCTCCCATTGCTGGGATTAAAGGCGTGCACCACCAAGTCCAGATGAGGTATTGAAGGGTTTTAGAAGGAGGATGGGATACAAAGTAGGGGTCCAGAGGGGAGGACAGTGTGGGCAGAGGGGGTCCCCAGAGGGGACGTGGAGCTGACTCCACACAGCTGTTGAGAGGTTCTGTGCACTTGACAGCTGTGAGGGGTGGGGTGGGATGATGGCAGCAGAGTGGCTGAGCTGTAGGAGGACAATGGCCTGCAGATCTGGTCAGGAAGAACAAGGAGTGAAAGCTGGGGAGTTTAAGGCATCTGTGGAGTCAGACACAGAGCATGCGCTGGGGAGAAGTCGGTTAGGTGGATCTCATTGGGGAGACTCAGGCAGACTGGAGAGCAGGGAAACTGCACTTTAGGTTTGGGTGGACAGGCAGACCCAGCAGTCAGGGGCCTGTGGGTAACTTTCCTGACTAAAAGCTTGTGGTGAGACTGAGGAGGAGCAGCCAGCTGTCAGAGCGCTGTGAAGAGTGCCTGAGAGAGACAATGAGAGACAGCCAGTCCATGGGGTGTGGGCAGTCCAGCTGTGGAGTCTAGGGAGGGGTGCTGGCTGGGAAGTCCAGCTGTGGAGTCTAGGGAGGGGTGCTAGCTGGGCAGTCCAGCTGTGGAGTCTAGGGAGGGGTGCTGGCTGGGCAGTCCAGCTGTGGAGTGTAGGGAGGGGTGCTGGCTGGGTGTGGGCAGTCCAGCTGTGGAGTCTAGGGAGGGGTGCTGGCTGGGCAGTCCAGCTGTGGAGTCTAGGGAGGGGTGCTGGCTGGGCAGTCCAGCTGTGGAGTCTAGGGAGGGGTGCTGGCTGGGCAGTGGTGGATTGTCAGAGGTAGATGGGCAAGGGGCATGGTGTCCAGCTGTGGAAATGATACACTAATTTAGCGTAAGTCTAAAGAAAAGGATTCCAAGTCTAAGAATGAGAAGTGGCAACATCGGGTGTTTTAAAGGGTCAGTTTAGAAGGCAACTATAGTGGTGATGCCAGTTCTCAGGAGGCATCTCGCATCAGGTGCCAGATGAACAGGTGAATCTCTGAGTTTGAGCTCAACCTGTCTACATGGCCAGTTTCAGGACAGTCAGGGGCACACACACACACACACACATACACACACACAGAGACAGACAGACAGACAGACAGACAGACACAGACACAGACAGACACAGACACAGAATGAGAAGATACAGTGTTGATGTTAGGCTTCATTTGGTGATGATTTAGTCACCTTTTTGCTATCTGAGATTTCTGCAATATCTGAGAGCTAGGTTTTAGGTATTCAGTGGAATAAGGGACACATGATTGTCTACAGTGCAGTAGCCGGAGCTCTTTAAAAGGAAGATTCCACCTGTCGTGATTCTGTCCTGTGTGTCTGTTCTGAGGAGCAGCAGGCAGTTTCCTCCATCTAACTTCTCTCACACCGAAGTGCGTGCCTCCACCTCATGGGAGACTCGATGGACATGGACATGAGCCCTTTTAGGCCACAGAACTACCTTTTCAGTTGTGATCTAAAAGCTGACAAACATTATTACCTTAAGGTGAATGATGATGAGAATGAACACCAGGTGTCACTAAGAACGGTTAGTTTAGGGGCAGTGGCAAAGGATGAATTACACATTGTAGAGGCAGAGGCAATGACCTGTGAAGGCAGTCCAATTAAAGTAACTGGCAACTTTGAAAATGCCTATACAACCAACAATTTCCCGTGGGGGCTTTGAAATCACACCACCTGTGGCCTTACGGGTGAGGTGTGGTTCAGAGCCTGTGCACATTGGTGGACAACACTTAATAGCTGCAGAGGAAGATGCAAAGTCAAAAGATGAAGACGAGGAGGATGTGAAACTCTTAAGTATGTCTGCAAGCAATCTGTTCCTGGAGGCAGTAACAAAGTTCCACAGAAAAAAGTAAAAATCGATGAAGAGGAGGAGGAGGATGAAGATGATGATGATTTTGATAATGATGAAATTGAAGAAAAAAATCCAGTGAAGAAATCTGTATGAGAGACCCAGCCAAAAATGCCCTAAAACGGGAAAGACTTTAAAACATGAACACCAAGATCAAAAGGTCAAGAGTCCTTCAAAAAAAAAAAACAGGAAAAAACTCCTAAAACCCCAAAAGGACCTAATACTGTAGAAGACATTAAGGCAAAAATGCAAGGAAGTATAAGTAAAAGGTGGTTCTCTTCCCAAAGTGGAAGCCAAGTTCATTAATTATGTGAAGAATTGCTTCCAGATGACTGACCAGGAGGCTATTCAAGATCTCTGGCAGTGGAGGAAATCTCTCTAGAAAATGGTTTAAACAGTTTGAAATATTCTGTCTTACTTAAGTTCTCTAACAGTTGACATATGTGACTGTCCTTTTTATAACACAAAGAGGACTTTCCCTATTTTGTTTGATAAATGTTGTTCAGGTTCCATTGCCAAGAATGTGTTGCCTAAAATGCCGGATGGAACTCTACCCTTTACTTGGTTTTAAGTATGTATGGAAAGTTATGATAGGACATAGTAATAGTGGTGGTCAGATGTGTAAATGGTAGGAAGACAAAAATTTACATGTGAAATAAACTCAGTATTTTAATAAAGTAAAAAAAAAGAAGGGAGATTCCAAATGATGCCAGTTCAGCACCCCTGATGGCAAGAGTTACTTTAAATGAAAGGGGCCAAGGGCAGAGGGTAAAACTTTAATTCTTCTCTTTGGAGGGGTACAAAGTAAGTAGGAGCAAAAATCATTCCAAAATAAGTTGGATGGTTGTCAAAGAATGGACCTCTCTTGTCTGCCAAGACACAACAGAGACAAGAGACAGTTCAATTCCTTGAGGACACTAAAATTGTCACCTCCATGTCCTTACATATAAAATAGAATCATCACATACGATGGATTGAAGGACAGAAGAGCAGCTTCTGGTCCGTGGTAAATGTTGAAAAGATATCTGTTAGCAATGGCTTGTGCAGGGACTGCTCAGGCTATGTCATCCAACATGGGCGTGGTCACCTGGGTTTGCAGCCACTCTGATTGCCATCCAGGAACTCGAGCATTTGTTGTTGTCACTGAGCTAAGATGGTGTTACATGGATCCTGGTGGCTTCTGGCTGGCTGTCTTCTGTCCTGGGAGCTTGGGATTCTGGTCCACCAGTCAGAATCACGGGCAATAATTGTGAGGATCTTGTATGACAACGGTGAGTGAGAAATAGGTAGACATAGGGCAGGCAGCCCTCTTCCTTTCCCCATCTGGGTTCACATCTGCAAAGCCACAGCTGGAAGGGCCAAGGACAGTAATTCTGCAGCACCTGTCTTTCCAAAGGTTTAGGACTTGTGGGCTGCTCTGCACTGGAAGGAAGGGAGCTAGGTGTCTCGGGTGAGCACTCAGGGAGAACTGTGCATAGCTAGGGTTTTATGCTGTCTTTGAAGAGACAGAGAGTAACACAGAGGGAGGGTATGGGAGGGAGAGAGGGAGATAAACAGAGAAGGAAAAAGATTATTCTTTCAAACCAAACAAAATGGCCCAAACCAGGGATCCCAGCATTGGGGTGGCAAAAGCAGGAGGATGTTGAGTTTGAGGCCAAGGTGACACACATAGGCAGACACTGTCACAAACAAACTAAAATTGGATTCAGATTTTTGGCCTTACTTAAATTAAGGGTCTTTGTTGTTGTTTGTAGTTGTTGTTTATTTTGACTTTTAAATTTGTTTTTAATTTTTTTATTTTATTTTGTGTGTGTGTGTGTGTGTGTCTGTGTCTGTGTGTGTGTTCACGTGCTTGAGCACACAGGTCAGCATATGTGGAATTCACAGGACAATTTTTGGGAATCAGTTCTCTCCATCTCCCATGTGAGTTCCAAGGATGGAACTCAGGTCATTATGATTGGCAGCAGGTATCTTTATCCACTATGCCAGTCTTGATGATTGGCATCTTTAATCCCATATAGTCCATAGTAACTTAGAACGATCTGTGTAGCCAAGAATACCCTTGATCTCATGTTCCTTTTGCCTCTGCCTCCCAAGTACTGGGATACATTCATGTGTTACTATGCCTGGATAAATTGATTTTTGATGACAGTGTCTCATGTAGCCCAGGTTGTCCTTTATTTGATATGTTGCCAAAGGTGACATTTTTCCTTTTATTTCTCTCTATTTAATTTTATTTTAATATTTATTTTAAGATATGTTGTAACTATTTAGACAAGGCTGTCTGTTTTGGAGTTCACTATGTGGTCCAGGCTAGCCTCAAATCCCTAATGATTCCTTACTTCTAACTTCTGAGTCCTGGGTTTACATGCTCCCCAAGTCTGGGGTCTCAAAGGTGACCTTGAACCCCTGATCCTCCTATTTCCCAAGTTGTGGGGTTAAGAAAAGTGTACACTTGCCCAGCTCTAATTTTTCTGAGTGAATGGACTGTAATTTGACACTAGGCTCAGTGTTCACTGAGCTGACTGTAAATCAGGATCCCCTGTCCCACCCTGGGGTGCTGGGATGACAACATGTGATGATACACCCAGCGTTGCTTTAGTGAATCTGATGCCCTATCCACAGACCTGGGAGGTATTATAGGGGTGTTTTCAAGGATGAGGACTTCAGTTCAGAGCCATTGGCCTCTGGCTTGAATTAAAGTCGTGTGCTGGGGTAAGGTCACCCCAGGAGTGAATGTGCCAGGAATGGGGACACCTCACCTTCTGGAGGTGGAGTTGACGATGAGGAAACAGCCCAAGAGAGAGACATGAAGGAACATCCTGAGGGGTGAGGGGAGGTCAGAAAAGTTCAGTGTCCTGGAAGCCAGTGAAGAAAATGTTCCCTGAAGAAGGAACAAGCCAAGAGTGATGGCTGACACCTGCAGCCCCAGGGTTGGGGAGACATCAGAAGGAAGACGGCTGCAAGTTCATCTAATCACTAGTGAGTCTACAGTGAGTTCCTGCACCGTCTGGAGTGATAACCCACCTCAAAAATAACAAATGAAGAATAACAGAAACCCCAACACCACTACCAATAAATATGAAGACAGCAGGTCACTGGACCACAGAGAGGAATTAGAGTCAGTGAATAGGGACAACTCTTGCAGGGTTGCTTCAGACCCCAGGGCTAAAGCCAGGCTCACAGAGCACGTGAGATAAATGTTGTCCTCTCCAGCACTCCAACTGTCACTGAGCAAAGTTGTGTTGTCCTGGAATTCTTGTGGTGCAGGGGTAAAAGAATTCACCAGAGTTTAATGCAGAATAGACAGTGTGGACAGAAACACAGCAGGTGGTTCATAGAGAAATGCACACCGCAGGAGTGGGCACTCTCACCTCAGTTAAGAACAGTTACCCGTCCTCACTTCATTTTGCCCTCTGTGTAGTTGTTTGAGCAGACAAGGGGGCAGCTCACTAGCTGTCAAGCTGTGACTCCTTTGTTCATGTGGGGTGCAGGCTCTTTAAGCTCTGTTTGTGAAGCACCACAGGTCACTCTGTCAGGATCTGAGGAGCAGGGGGGTTGGTCTTCAGTTTTAGTCTTTGTTTGTTCGCCTCAGGCACTTCATGTGCCTCATCCTGGTCCTGGCAATCCTCCTGCTTCAGTCATCTGAGTGATAAGATTACAGATTTGTCACCACACCTGACCCCCCCTTTGTTGCTTTTATTAATGTGCTAAGTAGCCGAGAATAACCTTGAACTTCTAATCCTCCTCCCTCTGCCTCCAAGTGCGGGGACCATATGTGTGTTCCCCTTGTTATACAGTCCTGGGGTGCTGTCCGGGACCCGGTGCATGCTTGGCAAGCACTCTATCAGCAGAGATACTTCTACAGCCTCACATGGCCTCTGAAGCTTGTTAGCACCTGACAGACAGAGCTATGCAGGAAGCTCTTTTATCTGTTTCTGCTGAGGGGACATCCATGTGACATCAGCGTCACTGATTTCAGTGCACAATTCACTGCCATGGAGCCTGTTCACCAGCTCAGGCAGCCACAACTTCCCTCTACTTTCAGAGCTGTCAGCACTCAGGAAAGCCTCCATATGGACTAAGTCATTATCTTCTTCCCCTCCTCTCACTCCTGATGACCTCCTGTCTATTGTCTATGCTGTGGGGTTTCTTTTCTGGTTGGAACAGCTGAAAGGATCAGATAAATTGTCTCTTGTGTGGAGTTATTTTACGGAACATGCTTTGAGATTCATCCAGGTTGCAGCACTTTTAGTCCTTCGTTCCTGTTCTTGGGTGAATAGTATTCCACTGTGTGACTATACCACAGGTTATTCATCCAGTAATGGACATTTTGCTTATGTTTTTTCTTTTGCTATTACCAACAACATTACTGTAAACATTTGTGTAAAGTTTCTTCTTTAATCTAGACGTGTGTTTATGGTTTTCTTGATTATAAAGGTAGGAGTAGAACTGCTGTGTCATTTGATAATTACATGCTTACATTTTAGGCACGGCTATACTTTTACACAGGGTTTGCATTGTTACATTTCCAGCAATAGGGCACAAGTGTTAATATTTTTCCATGTCCTTGAAGTCTGTGTAGGAATCATAACTTTGTTGTTTTAGCTTCCATTTCATTTAAGACTAGTGGTGTTGTGAACATTTCCTATCCTCTGGGAGACATTTCTTTTCATCATTTCTCATTTCCTTTTTTGATTTTGTTTTGATGTTTTTGAGATTTATTCATTTTATATGTATGAGTGTTTGCTTTTATGTTTTTCTGTACACCATGTGCATGCAGTGCCCACAAAGGCCAGAACATGGAGTTAGATACCATGGAATTTTTACAGACAGTTGTGAGTTGGGCGCTGGGAGGAGCAGTCAGTGCTCTTAACTGGTGAGCCATTTCTACAGCTCTATTTATTTACTTAGAGACAGGGTCACACTATCTAGCCCTACATATTGAGGCTGGCCTGAAACTCAAAGAGACATCCCTGCCTCTGCCTCTTGAATGTTGGAAGAATGGAACCCACTACTATGAAATGTATACATTTTTTAAAAACTGTATCTGTAGACATGGCTGATGGGGGAAGTCCTTCTGTGTATATGTTGTCCTATTGGTTGATAAAGCACTGTTGGCCAATAGGGAAGCAAGATAGGTAGTACTAGGAGTCAAAGAGGATTCTGGGAAATGTAGTCAAGAGTAGAGAGTTGCCATGTGATCCCAGAGAAGAGAGGACAAATCAGGATGCTGTCCTCGGAAAGATAAGTCCTTATAGAAATATATATTAGTAGTCACTAAGGGTTAATACTTAAGGCAGAACTAGCCAAAAAGAAGCTGGCTGACAGCATTATAATTAATAAAGTGTTTCATGTGTTATTTGGGGGCATTAGATGCTCTTACAGAAGATCCAGATAGGGTTCCTAGAACCCATGTGGCAGCTTACAACTGCTTGTACCTTCATCTCCAGAGGACTTAGTGTCCTCTTATTGATTCACAGGTTGTGCACATACATACATGTAGGCAAAACACACACATAAAACTAAAAACATCTTTAAAATGTTTAAATTTGTGTATATGTATTTGTGTGAATGTCTTGTGTTCAGGTGCCCACAGAGGACAGAGGAAATATTTGAACCCAGAGTTGTAATTATAGGTGGTTGTGAGTCACCTTAGTGCTGGACTTGGGTCCTCTGAAAAAGCAGAACACAACTCAAACACTCAGCCATCTATCTCTTCAGTCTACTTCCCTCCATCCCACCCTCCACACACGGACACCAATTCTTCCTCTCTTTTTTGGTGGGGTTGTTTGGCTGGTTGGTTGGTTGGTTGGCTGATTTTTCCAGACATAGTTTCTCTATATAGACCTAGTTGTCCTCCAATTCATTCTGTGGACCAGGCTGGCCTCAAAGTCAAGAGATCTGCTAGCCTCTGCCTCCAGAGTGCTGGGATTAGAGGCCTGTACAACTACATTAGCCCTCACACATTATTTCTTAACTGTATTGTTTTTCTTTCTAAGCTGTAAGAAATCTTCATATCTTCTGACCATTGGACCCAGATTCATGTTGCACAAATACTCTCTTTTATTCTGGAAGCTGACCTCATCCACTAGCTCCTGCTTCTTTTAATGTGGGATGAGACCCCATAGGGGATTATGTAACTGAATATGGGGTTAAGAATAATGTGGAAACAACAATATGAATGTGCAATGAGCAAAAAATCAATTCAAAATCGAGGGTGAAGTGAAGGGAGCTGTTCTGGCAGTGTTTGCATCTCCCACTCCACTGGCCTTGGTTCTGAACACCAAACACATGCACTTTGCACTGTGCATGCTGTGCTGCCATGAATGCCAACAAATGCGGCCTCAAACACTCTGCTCAGACTTCAGGCTGCTGCGTGTTGTGAACTCCAGATCTCTTATTCTGTATACAATGTTTATGCCCTTCTAGCAACAGCGGTTTAATTACCAAAATCAGGGACTTTTAAAATATTCTTCAGCATGTAATTATCAATTTTGTATCTCTTTCTGTTATATTGTGTTGCAATATTGTGATGGGGATGCCCTTCTATATATGTTTCTCTTATTGGTTGATGAATAAAACACTGTTTGGCCAGTAGAGGCAAGAAGATGGGTGGGGCTAGGAGATGAAGAGGATGCTGGGGAGAGAGGCACTGGAAGGAGAGTCGCCATATAGCTGCCAAAGGTGTAACAGGTCCGGCCATTCTCAGGTAAGCCGAGGCCACGTGGAAATAAATAGATTTATTGAAATTGGATAATAGTTAAGACAGAGTTAGTCAATATGAAACCCTAGTCATCAACCAACAGTTTTATAATTAATATAGCATCTGTGTGTTTACTTGGGGCTAAAGAGTGGCTGGACCTAGTGGGACAAGAAAAACCAGCAGCAATATTGGATTTTGGAAATTACAGTTTAGCAGGGTTGGATAAATGGCTCAGTAGTTAAGAGCACTGAAGGACCTGGGTTCAGTTCCCAGCATCCACAGGGAATTTTACAAGTGTTTGTAACTCCACTTGCAGAGGGCCGGAGATCCTCTTCTAGATTCTGTGGTTACTGTCCATAAAGGTGAATAGACATTCATGTAGGAAAAGCAACCATACACACAAAATAAAAACTTAACGTTTTGATTCATGAATTTTAATCATTGTCTTTTTGTTGTTTACAAGAGCTCTCATATGCAGATAATGTCATGGTTGAAAACTCAGTGGCTGTAATTTACATCCTGCCTCTGGAGCGTCTGAAGAACCTGATGGAGGTAAGATGGGAGCTCTTTCCCTGAGAGGTTTGCTGAAGGGGTTAGCACATTATATGATTTGAATGTTTCACCTTACAAACCACATCTTCACTGGTTTTGTTTTATTTTGTTTTGGGATGCAGGATTATACTATGTAGCACAGGCTGGCCTGGAACGTGATCATCCTGCACCAGCCCCTGAATATTAGCATTGTAGGCATGTGCCCTCATGCTCATGAACTCTAATGGAGATAGGAGGGTCTCATCCTGCTTAAGTCATTTTTCTCTTTCTGCGATAAAAACACCATGATGAAAAGCAACTTAGGTAGAGCCTATGGTTCCAAAGGGACAAGAGGCCATAATGGCAGAAAGTCATGGCAGCAGGAGAAGGAAGGTGACAGAGCACAGTTTCCATTGCAAACAGGAAGCAGGGAGAGCAACCTGGAAGTGAGGCAAGGCTATGAGCCCTTAAAGCCCACCCCAGTGTTGTACTTCCCACACCAAGTCTGCCCCTTCCCATATCATTCCCAAACAGCACACCAACTGGGGACCACATGGTTGAATATCGGAGCCTATGGGGACATTCTCGTTCAAACACCCTTGAGATTTAATCAGTTTCCCTCTTAGAGAAGATGCCAGTTATCAACAGTTCCAGACTTTGATTTCTCACTGATCACTTTTTAGGATATGGAGAACAAGGACTTGAATGCAATTCTCCAAGTGTGTGAGCTTCTTGCTAAGGATTCTAATTTGTACCAAGTCTACATAGATGCTGGATTCTTCAAAAGACCCCAGATACTGTAAGTACCTTTCTATCACAAGGTAGCATTTACATGGAATTGATGTTTCTTCTATTCCAATAGATTGTGATGACTCAAATTCACTCACAGCAATAAAAAGAAGGTATCTTTAAGATGTCCCTGTGAGAATCTTAGTTTATATTCTTTTTGTGTGTGTGAATGTATGTGTGTGTGTGTGTGTGTGTGTGTGAGTGTGTGTGTGGACATGTTCCTCTGTGTGAACACACAGGTGTGCGCATGAGTGTGGAGGTCAGAGTTCAGTGTTGGATGACTTCCTTACCTACTCCCTATTTTAAAATATCTTAATTTAAAAAGTTTTATTTTTTATTAATTATGAGTGTATGTGGGGACCTGGGGGTGGGCACGTGCACATTCCAGTTCAGGGCTCACAGAGGTCGGAGGAGGACATCAGATCACCTCAAGATGGAGTTATAGGTGATGTGAGCTACATATGTAGTTGCTAGGAACTGAACTGGAGTCATCTGCAAGGGCACAAACACTCTTAAATATTCAACCATCTCTCCAACCCTCTAGTTGAAAATTTTTAACTATATTTATTATTTATTTAGTGTGTGCATACTGGGTAACACTATTCAGAGGAGGGGGAGGAGGAGGAAGAAGAGGAGGAAAAAGATAAGAAAATGTGTCTTGGTTAACATGGAGCTCACTATTATGCTAGACTCACTGAATGGCAAGCCCCAGAGACCCTGCTGTCTCTACCCTCCCAGTGCTGACATTACTGACATTACCAGATTACTGCTCGCTGGGTTTCTTTCTGTTCTAAGGGGAACATGTAATCCAGGCTCAGATGCTCACACTGTTGTGACCAGCACTTCACTGACCGAGCCATCTCCCCAGCCTCTTGTGATTCATGTTCCATGAAGATTTGCATTTGTGTCCTTCCTTAGGGGAGGAAGATCCTGTGATGCTGTGATTTGGGGACCTATGGTGTATTAAAAATAGCTTAACCTATGAAATGACTGTTAATACATTCCAATCTGACATTCAGAACTAAGAGCCACCTTTGATTTCTCCAGGAAAGAATTGGTCAAGAGATGTCCAATAACTGCCATGAAAAATATGATCTCAGTTTCCAGCAGATAAACATTAAGGTAACTTCTATTTTTTTTTTAAGAAAAACGTTATTATTTTATGTGTGTTGGTGTTTTTCTGCATGTATATTTAGGAGAATGCCTGATTCTCTGGAACTAGAGTTACAGACAGTTGTGAGATGCCAAGTCAGTACTGGGAATGAAACTGAAGACCTTTGGAATTTAATTCTGTTAAGAACCTCAGCTCCTGGCCAGGCGTTGGCGGTGCACGCCTTTAATCCCAGCACTTGGGATGCAGAGGCAGGCAAATCTCTATGAGTTTGAGGCCGGGCTGGACCGACAGCCTCCAAAACAATACAGAGAGACCCTGTCTCGTAAAACAAAACCAAAAAAAAAACCTCAGCTCCCAACTGCTGAGCCTTCTCCAGCCCCTACGTTCATCTTTACCCATTGTTCCCGTTTCTAACCAACACCCACCTGATACTTGTTATTTCTGTTTTTCTCCCGCTGTTTTGTTTATTTAGACATGAATTTTTTTGTTTTTTTTTCTTTTATCATTTTTTATTTTAATTTTAAATAGCTTGTTTTACATGTCAATCCCAGTTCCCTCTCCCTCCCCTCCTCCTGCACTCCCCTTCCCCCCCCCCCCAGCCTCCCACCCTATTGCCAAATCCTTCCACATAGGGGATATCTAGAGTCTGTCATTTCACTCTGGGTAGGGTCCAGGCACTCCCCTAAGAGCCCAGGCTGAGAGAGCATCCCTCTTTGTGCTATGGGCACACGATGTCTGTTTGTATTCCAGGGATAAACACTGATCCACTGCTCAGGGCCCCATAGGTTGCCCAGGCCTTCTCGCTGACACTCACATTTGGGGAGTCCAGATCAGTCCCATGCTGGCCTCTCCGCTGTCAATCTGGGGTCCAAGAGCTCTCCCCTGTTCAGATCAGCTGTCTCTGCTGGTTTTGTCAGCCCATTCTTTGCCAATTTGCTCATCACTCCTCTCTCTCTGTCACTGGGTTCCTTGGGTTCAGTTCAGTGCTTAATTGTGTGTTTGCCTCTGCTTCCATTAATCACTGGTTGAAGGCTCCCGGATGGTTATAGACATCAAGTTCATTATCAGGAATGGGCATTCGAGGTGGTCTCTCCACTATTGCTTAGCTTGCCAATTGGTGTTATCCCTTTAGATCACTCGATGTCACTCTGGTGCCTGATCTGTCTTCTAACCTATGATTCCCTCTTCCCCCTATTCTACCCCCACCCACTCAACTTCCTGTTCCCCCATGACCTACTCTCTCTTCCTCTTCTCCCCCTCTCTTCTTCCCAGCTTCCACTCCCCCCCACCCCTCGCCGTGTTCCCCATCCATTCAGAGGATCTTGTCTCAATCCTCTTCTCTTGGGTACTATGCATATATGCATATCTTTTAGGTTCTTTCCTGTTTCCCAGACTCTCTATCAGTGGAAGTGCAGACTGGCACTATCCTGATTCATGTCTAAAATCCATATATGAGTGAGTACATACCATATTTGCCTTTTTGCGACTGGGTTACCTCACTCAGGATGGTTTCTTCCAGTGCTATCCATTTACCTGCGAATTTCAAGATTCCATTGTTTTTTTGGTTTTTCGAGACAGGGTTTCTCTGTGGCTTTGGAAGCTGTCCTGGAACTAGCTCTTGTAGACCAGGCTCGTCTTGAACTCACAGAGATCCACCTGCCTCTGCCTCCTGAGTGCTGGGACTAAAGGCATGCACCTGGCTAGACATGAATTTTTTTAAACCATCTTTTCTCATTTTACATACCAATTCCAGTTCCCACTCCCCTCCCCTCCTCCTGATCCCTCCACCTTCCCCCACCCCAGCACATCCACTCCTCAGAGAGGGTAAGGCTTCCCATAGGGAATCAGCAAAGTCTGGCACATCTCTCTGAGGCATGACCAAGGCCCTTCCCCCAATATCTAGGCTGAGCATGGTATATCTCCAAAGAGAATGGGCTTCAAAAAGTGAGTTCAAACACTAGGGATAAATCCTGGTTCCACTGCCAGTGGGACTGCCCGAGCCACACAACTTTCACCCACGTTCACTCTTGGTCCCATGCAGGTACCCCAGCTGAGCTATCACTGGCTCAGGTCAGCTGTCTCTGTGGGTGTCCCAATATGGTCTTGACATGTTTGCTCACTCCTCCCTCTTTTCGACTGAACTTTGGGATCTGGACCCGGTGCTTAGCTGTGGATCTCCACATCTGCCTCCATCAGTTGCTGGATGAAGGTTTTATGGTGATAATTTAGGTAGTCATCAATCTGATTACAGGGGAAGGCCAGTTCAGGTACCCTCTCCGCTGATGCTTAGGGTATTAGTTAGGGTCATCTTTGTGGATTCCTGGGAATTTCCTTAGTGCAAGGTTTCTCACAACCCAGTAATGACTCCCTCAATCAATATTTCTCTTTCCTTGCTCTCCCTCTCTGTCCTTCCCACATCTCCACCATCCATCTCTACCACCCAATGAAGGGAAAGGGTGAGAACATAGGGATCTGTTTTCTTTTTGATATAAAATTTTGCTTTGTATCCCAGGCTGGCCTCCAACTCCAGCAACTCTCCTACCTCAGCCTCTGAATGCTGGATTTTAAGCATTACCACCACATCCAGCACCCACTCATTTAAAGAAAAACTTAGTAGTTTGATTTGTACGCTAAGTCAGATCTCCTGAACCTGGAGTACAGGCATTGTGAAGCAACTGATGTGGGTGTTGGGATCCTAACTTGGGTCCTCTGGAAGAGCAGAGCACATTCAACTACTAAGCCATCTCTCCAACCCCTAAAACTCACTTCTATTACATTTATTTATGTGTTGTGTGTAGTCGTAAGTGTGCCATGGTGTGCTAGTGAAGGCAGAGGACAATTTAAGGACTTCAGTTGTATCTTCCTTTCATGTGGCCCTCAGGTCTTCAGGCTTGGCAGCAGCTGCCTTACCTACTGTAACATTTCCACAGAGGGGAATCAATGATGTCTCCACGTTATCAGTTTGAGCAACTGAATGAATAATATGGTTATTTACAGAGACAGGGAGCACTGGGTAGGAACAGAGGGCATGTGTGTGTCTTTAGGCAGGCAGTGTAAAGAGACTGTGGTGTAAAAAGACAGTGTCTGAGTGAGGTAACCCAGTCCCAAGAAGATAAACATGGTATTACTCACTCATATATGGAGTTTAGACATGGATCAGGGGAATGCCAGCTACAATCCCACTGCCAAAGAGTCCAGGAAACAGGAAGGACCCTAAGAGAGATATGCATGGCACCCCCAGAGAAGGTGGAATGAGGCAAAATCCTGAGCAGATTGGAAGCATGGGGGGAGGGGAGAGGGAGCCAGGAAAAAGAGAGGGGGAGAAGGGAGGGAGAGGAGGACATCGGGGAGCAGGAAGGTTGAGTCAGGGGAAGAATAGAGGAGAGAAGGATGAGAGATACCATAATAGAGGGGGCCATTGTAGGTTTGAGGGGAGATCTGGCACTAATGAGATTTCCAGAGATCTACAAGGATGACACCAATTGGCCAACTAAGCAACAGTGAAGAGACTACCTTAGATGCCCCTCCCTGATAATGATTTCGACGACTATCTTATATGTCATTCTAGAACCTCCAACCAGTGACAGACAGAAGCAGAGGCAGACACCCACAGCTAAACACTGAGCTGAACTCCTGGAACCCAGGGACAGAGAGGGAGGAGTGATGAGCAAAGGGGTTAAGACTGGGCTGGTGAAACCCAGAGAAACAGCTGACCTGAACAAGAGGGAGATCTTGGACCCCTCAACTGATGGCTGAGAGAGGCCAGCATGGGACTGAGTCCCTAAATGTGGGTGTCAGTGAGGAGGCCTAGGCAATCTATGGGGCCCTGGGCAGTAGATCAGTATTTATCCCTGGCATACAAATGGACTTTGGGTGCCCATCCCATAATGAGGGATGCTCTCTCAACCTGGACACTTGGGGGTATCCCAGGCCCTACCCGGAATGAAATGACAGACTCTGGATATCCACCATGGAAGCTTCACCCTCCATGGGGAACAGAGTGGAGATTGGGTGGAGGGTTGGGGGGGCTGGAAGGGGTGGGAGGGGAAGGTGAGGGAGCTGGGACTAACATGTGAAACAAACTTGTTTCTAATTTAAATATAAAATAAAAAATTCTAAAAAGAGAGACAGGATGTAGACTTCATTTGTAAGCACAGTTGAGATGGCAAACAAATGGAGCTGTATCTCAGGCATTGAAAATGTGTGTCTTACCAGGTGGTGGTGTCACATGCCTTTAATCCCAGCAATAGGAAGGAGGCAGAGGCAAGCAGATCTCTGTGAGTTCGAGACCAGCCTTCTCTATAAGAGCTAGTTCCAGGACAGCCTCCAAAGCCACAGAGAAACCTTGTCTCGAAAAACCAAATACAAAAAAGAAAAGAAAAGAAAATATGTGTCTTAAGTTCAAGATGGAGGCAGGGTTGGACGTATTAAGAAGTCTCCAAAATTAATATACTTTAATCTTGTTTAATTTTACTATGTGAAAATTATAAATAAATATAAAAGTGTAATAATATATAATATTATAATGATAAAAAAGAGTAATAGAGTGAATATCTCCATACTTACATTCAGCTCTTGATAACATTTGTTACATTTAGTCTTGTAAGATGGCTCAGTGGATTAAGAGTGGTTGCCAAGCAATCTGAGCAGCTGATTTAGACTGTCAGATCCCAGGTGGAAAGAGAGAACAACTCCAGAAAGTTGTCTCTGCCCTCCGTAGATGGATCGTGGCTCCCACATTCACACTCAACCTTTGTTTTTTTTTTTTAAGATTTATTTATTGCCGGGCGGTGGTGGCGCACACCTTTAATCCCAGCACTCGGGAGGCAGAGGCAGGCGGATCTCTGTGAGTTCGAGGCCGGGCTGGACCAATAGCCTCCAAAACAATACAGAGAAACCCTGTCTCGTAAAAACCAAAAAAAAAAAAAAGATTTATTTATTTATTATGTGCACAGTGTTCTGTCTGAATGTATCCCAGCAGGCCAGAAGAGGGCACCGGATCTCATTACAAATGGTTAAGAGCCATCATATGGTCACTGGGAATTGAACTCAGGACCTCTGAAAGAGCAGCCAGTGCTCTTAACCTCTGAGCCATCTCTCCAGCCATCACACTCAATCTTACACCATTTCTAGACTTACTCTTCCAGAGTCAGAGTAGTTTAAAGCAAAGTCCCACACTGGTATTCATAAGTACTTGTAATTAAAGAGAAGAAGCATTTAAACTGGGTGTGGAGACACAGGTCTTTAACCCCAGCACTCAGGAGATGGAGGCAATAGAATCTGAAGTTCAAGATCAGCCTTGGCTACATAGTGAGTTTGAGGATAGCCTGGGATACATAAAACAATGACTCAAAAAACAAAACAAAGACCCCAACTCAGATTTAGAAATACACTATCTCCTGGAGACCTTGATGCAAGAGTTTGATCAAAATGGATTCAAAAGAAGCTGGAGAAGCTGGATGTAATAACACAGACTTTAAATCTCAGGATTGTTTTGGAACCTGTCCTGTAGACCAGGCTGGCCTCGAACTCACAGAGATCCGCCTGCCTCTGCCTCCCTAGTGCTGGGATTAAAGGTGTGCCCCACCAATGCCCGGCTGACAGCTATATTTCGAGAACCTATCTCAAAACAAAGTGGTTTTTGGGGTCGGGAAGATGAGTTACAGAGATGGCTCAGTGGCTAATAACCCTTATGTGATCTTGCAGGATGATGAAGCAACTTTCTGGCTATCTTAATCTCCAGTGCTAAACCCAACCCACAGCGAGTGCAAAGCATTACAAACAAGGCTGTGCTCTGTATGCCATTTTGACCTCTTGAGTCACAACATAACTGCAAAAGGCCAACCCTATCTCAAAGAACTAGTCACTTGCTTAAAGTGCACAGCTCCCCTTCCTCTCTCCTCCTAGCTTGGTGAAAGGTTCCTACTCCGTAAAAGAGGCACACTTGCTTCGTGTGAGCTCCTCTCAGTTTCTCTGAAATAAACCCACCTGCATTTGAGTCCAGTCTCCTGACTTCTTCTTCCACGTTATTCCCTACCATGGTTCTCAATCCTGGGACAGGTGCTTGGAGCAGAAGACCCTCTTGCAACCCAGGGAGCCTGTGCAGCAGCAGGGCACCCAGGGCTAACCCTTGGATCCTGAGGGGCCCCTGAGTTAGTTCTCCCTGTTTCTGAACCTCACCTACTTTCTCCCACTCAACCTTCCCCTGCCAACACTCTGGATGAGGATTGCAGACTACCTTGGAAAAGGATATGTTCATCTAGACTGCTGGGTCCTGTCATGGGCAATTCTCAAAATACTTGTACTTGTTTCTCCAAGTGGCCCCAGTTAATCCACCAGGACTTCCTCTTTTCCCTAAATTCTGCCCCGTACCTCTCTTTCTCCCCTAACTGCTGCCCTCCCCCCAAATAAGGTTATAGATCCCTTGCAGTCAGACATCCAACCTGAAGCCATCCTCTGACCTGTGAGGTGATGAATGTCTTCTGTCTGGACGAATCTTTGGGACTCCCTCATCTTCTCTGTACTCAACCCAAGGTATCAATTACCTGCTCAAATTTTTTTCCTGAAAACCATTAGGATATATGCATGGTATAGTGGGATTCTGAGACACTGGCTTTATAAAAGAGGAAGAGATGAAAGTATGTCAGGATGGTGCAAAACTTTAATCCCAGCACTCAGGAGGCAGAGACAGTGAGTTCAGGGCCAGCCTGCTCTACACAGCAAGTCTCAGGATGGACAGGACTATACAAAAATCCCTGTCTCAAGAATAGGAAAATTTAAAAGAAAATAACAAGCCAATGTCCATGTCAGAGAAGCAGATAGCCAGGTCATGGTGATACACACATTTAATCCCAGCAGACATATTAGCTAGCCATAGAAACAGGGCAGTGGCGGTGCACACCTTTTATCTCAGGACTCAAGAGACAGAGGCAGATGGATCTCTCTGAATTCAAGGCCTCACTGAGAGCAACATAAAATTGATCCAGTCTAAAAGAGAAACAGCTCACACAAAGGTGATCTCAGCACTTGGGATCACATGCCTTTAATCCCAGCATTAGGGAGGAAGAGGCAGGAGTAATATGGCTGAGCAGAGAGAGAAATATAAGGCAGAAGAAGACAAGAACTCCGAGGATTGCAATCTGAGGCTTGGTGGAGAGTATTTGCCCCTGGGGATTCATGGAGACAGGATCACCCAATTCAGTCTGAGGTAGAGGAAAGAGCTAGTGGCTGGCTACTTTGCTTTTCTAATATTCAGCTTTAACCCCAATATCTGTCTCTGGATTTTTATTATTCATGTTACAATACTGTTTCTAAAAATGTTAAGAAAAATCAAAAGGTCAGATGTTTTAATTCTGGTAAACCAGGTCATCTGAAAAGGAAATGTAGGCAAAGCATTCTTAGAAACAAAAGTTTTTCTTAGGAGATAATCCAAACAGGTGGCCCCAGCTTTCTTGACTATGCCGAAGGTGTGGCAAAGGATATCATTAGACTAATGAATGTTGATGAACAAGGGACAAGCAAGGTTACCCTTTGCCATTGGGAAACGGCTTAGGGGACCTCTCACAAGTCCCAATGTCACATTTGGGTCAATCATTCCCTCCCAACATTGGGGAAACACCTCCATGGAGAAATTAAAAGATTCAATGCTTCAATGCCTGTTATTAAAGTCATACCCCTCTGAATTACATAACAGCTTCATTAAGTAAAACAAAATTTTCAGGAGAAACCATAAAACAAGTATTTTAGAATACTTCTATAAATGATCAAGACCAAAGCTAAAAATACAAATAAATGGTAATGTGATTGAAGGTTTACTAGACATAGGCATGGTTGCAACAATAATCTCACCAACATCTTGGAATACAGATTGGCCTCTTCAGGAGGTAAATATTCAGCTTCTAGGAATTGAAACTTTATCTCAGATAAAAACAAAGTACAAGGTGGATTGAATGAATAGGGCCAGAAGGACAGGTAGAGAAATTAAAAGCCATATGTGGCTAACATAAAAATAAATTTAAGGGTTCAAGATTTGTTACAGCAAAGGAAAACCCAAATTAACAGTCCTCCAATCTCAGAAGCAAACCATAAATTTATCTCTGATTTTGAGAAAAATATTAAAAGTTATTATCAAAAACAGTCATTGACCATCCAGGTTATACATAAACAGGGCACAACAGCTTCTGATCTTTCAAAGGTACCATTCAACCCTACCTTTAAAATAGTTAGCTAACAACCCTATCTAAGTGGAACAATGCCCTTTGACATAAGAAAAATTACAGGCATTAGAACAGCTGGTACAGGAGCAGCTAAATAATCAACATACTGAAGAATCAACCAGTCTTTGGAATTCTCCCATATTTATCATTAAAAATAAATCTATCCAGGTGGTATTGGCGCACACCTTTAATCCCAGCACTTGGGAGGCAGAAGAAGGCAGATCTCTGTGAGTTCAAGGCAAGCATGGTCTACAGAGTGAATTCCAGGACAGGTTCCAAAGCTACACAGAGAAACTCTGTCTAATAGCACACACACACACACACACACACACACACACCCCAAGAAAAGAAATCTGGAAATGTGGGGAACATTAATAGATATAAGAGCCATAAATAAAGTAATTCAGACAATGGGCTTTTTACAGACTGGAATTCCTTTTGGTCTATTGTAGTGATTGACATTAAAAGACTGCTTTCTTACTATACCTTTACAAGATCAGGATAGAAAAACATTTGCCTTCACAGTGCCTACTGATAATTCCCAGCCTGTTAAAAGAGATCAATGGAAGCCAGGCATTGGTGGTGCATGTCTTTAATCCCAGCACTGGGGAGGCAGAGGCAGGTGGATCTCTGTGAGTTTGAGGCCAGCCTGGTCTACAGAGCCAGTTCCAGGATGACCTCCAAAGCAAAAAGAGAAACCCTGTCTCAAAAAAAAACAACAACAACAGCAACAAGAGATCAATGGAAAGTCCTCCCACAAGTGAGGTTAAACAGCCTCACCTTGTGTCAATATTTTGTACAACAGCCATTGGAAATAATTCATAAAGTTTCCTCAATCTATAATTTATCATTGTATGGATGATATCTTACTAGCTGATTCAGACAAAGATACCTTAGGAAAAAAATGTTTGAAGAAGTAAAGAAAAATTTTCCTTGTTGGGAATTACGAATTGATCCTGAAAAATACAAAGAAGAGATTCTATTAATTACCTAGAATGTAAGATAGGTTTACAAAGAATAGGTTTACAAAGAATTAAGCCTCAGAAAGTGCAAATCAGGAGATATCAATTATGAACTCTTAATAATTTTCAAAAATTACTGGGAGGTATTAACTGGCTATGGCCCACAACTGGATTGACAACTCAAGAACTACGTAATTTATTTCAAACTTTACAAGGTGATAAGGACTTAAATGGCCCAAGAAAATTATCAGTTAGGAGAATTACCAGCTGAGAGAATTGACTTCGGTAGCAAAGAAACTACAGGATGCACATATGGATCACTTGGATCCAGAGCTTGATTGTATCCTAGTCATACTACCTTCTACACATTCTTCTACAGGAATTCTTATGCTGAGAGAAGATAATGCTTTAGGATGGATATTTTTGTCATACAGACATAGTAAAAATTAAAGACCTATGTAGATGAATTGATTTGGAAAGGAAAAATTGAGACTGCATCAATTAACACGAATATATTCAACAGAAATTGTGACACAGCAATTTTATTAATACTGAAATTATCTTATTATGGCAGAAAATTAACATTGTCAAAGAGCTTGCAGTATTTTTTGGGAGAGATTAGCAACAAATATCCCAAAAGCAAGAGACTTCAGTTTATAGAAATAACTAATTGTATCCTTCCTCACATGGTATGAAGAACACCAATTTTTGGAGCCCCTGTACTCTATACTAATGAAATTAATCAGGAAAGGCATTTTATAAGTCAGGAAATTTAAGTAAAGTAGCTCAAAGTCCTTACGATTCTGTTCAAAAGTCAGAATTATATGCTATTTTAATGGTATAATTAGATTTTCCAGAACCTCTTAATATAGTTACTGACTCTCAATATGCAGAAAAAGTTGACTTACATATTGAAACTACTGAACCCTTTTGAGATTATTCAGAATTAACTTTGCTATTTATTCAGTTATAATAAATAATCAGAAATAGAAATAATCCTTTGTATATAACACATCAGATCCCATACAGGTCTACCAGGCCCTCTAGTGCAAGGTGATGATGAAATTGATCAACTATTAGTGGGAAATGTGCTAGAAGCCTCAGGGTTTCATAAGAAATAGCAAGGGATTAAAAAGATTTTTCTATCACTTGGCAACAAGCCAAGAATATTATAAGGCATCAGTCTATTACTTTTTTTTTTTTTTGGTTTTTTTTCGAGACAGGGTTTCTCTGTGGCTTTGGAGGCTGTCCCGGAACTCACTTGGTAGTCCAGGCTGGTCTCGAACTCACAGAGATCCGCCTGCCTCTGCCTCCCGAGTGCAGTCTATTACTTTTTATATAACCAAACTCCAACACCTGCAGGAAGTAACCCAAAGGGTACTCAAGAAACAAAATCTGGTAACTAGGTGTGCTTCATTTTGCAGACTTTGGAAAATTAAAGTATGTGAACTATACCATAAATACATATTCAGGATTTCAATGAGCAACTGCTTTGAGTTCTGAAAAGACTGATTTTTTTTTTTTGGTTTCTTGAGACAGGGTTTCTCTGTATTGTTTTGGAGGCTGTCATGGAACTCACTCAGTAGACCAGGCTGGCCTCGAACTCACAGAGATCCGCCTGCCTCTGCCTCCCGAGTACTGGGATTAAAGGCATGTGCCACCACCACCTGGCTAAAAAGGCTGATTCTTTAATCACACATTTATTAGAAGTTATGGGAACTATGGGAATAGCTGTACAAATTAAAACTGACAATGTTCCAGCATATGAAACAGTTTTTTGCATATTACAACATAAAATATATAACAGGTATACCATACAA